GTGCCTTACTAGTAGTAACAAAGAAGCTACTAGGAGCAAAGGGCATCACTACTAGGAACAAGTGCCTTACTAGTAGTAACAAAGAAGCTACTAGGAGCAAAGGGCATCGCTGCTAGGAACAAGTGCCTTACTAGTAGTAACAAAGAAGCTACTAGTAACAAAGGGCATCGATTCTTATTTCAACATGTTCGAATCCTTCAAGACACCTTTTACTGCTCAAGAAGCTACTAGTAACAAGGTATCGCTACTAAAGAGAAGACGCTCCCCCGAGGCAATAGCGCAGTCGTTTGTAGGCACGACCGTGAAACAGAGCCTTCCGCATGCCAACTCGCAAGCGTAAATCGGAGGCCATCGCTAGTAGGGTGGAGGCCATCGCTAGCGTAAAAGCATTTTCTTTTTTTCTATTTTTTTGATCTTTTCTTTCTTATTGCTCCTAGTAGCGTCCTTGTTCCTAGTAGTAAGGCCAGGAGCCCCTAGTAGCGTCGCTCCTAGTAGCGATGCCCTTTGCTCCGTTCGTAGCTTCTTTGTAAAAGCATCCTGCCTCATCCATCCTGCTCAGCCTCTTGGTATCGGACAGTTATCGAAGGTTCAGAGGGCTGTTGCTAATCGGGAGGCAAGAGTGGAGGAAAAGGCGAAGGCAAGAGCAGTGGAAAGGCAATGTGTGCTTCAGCTGCAATGGGCAATTCTGTGTGGGCTTGACTGATGTCGAATTTGTTCCAGGTCACCATTTCTCTACTCGAATTTGGTTTCTTTATGGCAAGTGCTAGAGCTAGATCACACCTCAATAGCATGCAGGTCCTTTTCTTTTCTTTGTTGCCCTTTTCTATTTAGCTAGGAGCGTACAAGTTTCTCCGTCACTGAATTAAGTAGGCTCTCTGAAGTCGCCTTTAGTTGGTGCAAGAGGGTGCTGACTTGCTCACTCTTTAGTTATTCTGGCATTGTAGAACACCAATACTTTTGATGGACACCAAAAGCAAGAGCTTTCTTTTTTTCGTTGGAAACCATTGCTACTAGGTTGGAGGCCATTTCTAGTAGTTGGGCAAGTGGTTGCAAGTGAGGTCGGAGGTAGAGACACCTAATCGCAACCTAGTAGGGAGACCATCGCTCTTAGGTTGGAGGCTATCGCTATTCGGTTTGAGGTAGAGAAACGAGGATTCGGGATTGGAGCGTAGAGAGACATCATGATACAGAATGCAGTCGACTAGGATTAAGATTAAGCATCCATACAAATGCCACATGTAGAAGTCGACTGAAACACGAGGCGAGCCATGTAGAGATGAAACACGATGAAGGAACAAACACAGGATTTCTTTTCTTTAAATAGACTTTAGGGAACCTATTAGCGATGGCCTCCAACCTACTAGCAATGGCCTCCAACCTAGAAGCGATGGCCTCCAACAAACATGGCGCTTTTGAAAGATCTGAGAAGGAGAAAAATGCTACCTGTTCCTAATAGCTTCTTTGTTACTACTAGTAAGGCACTTGTTACTAGTAGCGATGCACCTGCTCCTAATAGCTTCTTTGTTACTACTAGTAGGAAGGCCGGAGCCCCTAGTAGCGTCCTAGGCCATTGCTACTAGGTTGGCCCAACCGGAGTTGAGGTAAATTCTGGATGAAGGGCGAATGCACTCGCGGTGCATCGTGTACCTGGTCGCATGGCGATGGCGAGAGCAAGGCCTTTCTTGAGAAGTGCGAAACGCCCTACTTACTACTAGGAACAAGAAGCTACTGGAGGCCTCTGGCCTTACTACTAGGAGCAAAGGACGCTACCAGGGGCTCCTGGCATCGCTACTAGGAGCATTCTTACTACTAGTAACATATAGCTACTAGTAACACCAACACGCAACTGTGGAATTCAGGCTTTCTAGGAATTTGTTGAAGCCTCTTGTTTTTTCTTTTTCCTTAAACCTTTAAACCTTTTAATAGCAATGGCCTCCACCCTAGTAGCGATGGCCTCGTCATCTTTGAAGCGACGGCCTCCAACCTACTAGCGTCCTTGCTTCCGGTAGTAAGGCCAGGAGCTACGAGTAGCGTTCTTGCTCCTAGTAGCGATGCCCTTTGTGACTAATAGCTTCTTGTTTATAATGGGCTTCTTGTTACTAGTAGTAAGGCACTTGTTACTAGTAGCGATGCACTTGTTCCTAGTAGCATCGCCTCCAAGCGGCTGGTGAGAAAAACGGCTTAGTTTTAGTCCCGCAGGACTGGACTTCAGGCAAAGGGAGTTGCGTGGCGACAGTTGAGACTTGAGAGAGTGATTTTAAAGAGAAAGGCCACAAATACAGAGAAAGACACGAAGACAACAGGAACAAGTTTTGGGAACGCCTTGATTGTTTATTTTTGGTGACGCTTAGACTTGTCCTTCTTGTTTTTATTCCTTTGTTGCTTGTTTGTTTTTGTATGTAGTGTTTGCATGATCCTTTGGGTTGCTCTTAGGCAAGTTCTTCTCGCAGGGCAACTATGAGGACGTTGCATGGCATTTGTTGGCTTGCACTGCATGCAGCGTGACCATGTAATCTTGCTTGTAGGCCGATTATCCAGATGATCCTGAGCTGCTGGAAATTCAGGACGCAGAGTCCCAGACAACTATACAGCTTGTACATTTATACAGCTTGTGTAACAAGAAGCTACTTGTAGGTGGAAGCTACTAGGTGGAGGGCATCGCTATTAGGGTGGAGGCCATTCTTATTAGGGTGGAAGCTACTAGTGGTTTGAGATCGCCCTCGCCATCCAGGATGCCATTGACAAGGTGTCGTTCAAAAAGGACGACGAGGAGGAGATGATGGCAGAGATGGCCGAGATGGCAGAACGGAGTCTAGAGGCTGGTCGCTACGAATGACCATCGCTACTAGGGGCTCCTAGCCTTACTACTAGGAGCAAGAGGACGCTACGAACGGAGCAAAACTTACGGTTTGGATTTGAACACTTTATGTGAAAACGTTATGTGAAAACTTTATGTTCCTAGTAGCTTCTTTGTTACTACTAGTAAGGCACTTGTTACTAGTAGCGTGGCACTTGTTCCTAGTAGCTTCTTGTTACTACTAGTAAGGCACTTGTTACTAGTAGCGTGGCACTTGTTCCTAGTAGCTTCTTTGTTACTACTAGTAAGGCACTTGTTACTAGTAGCGTGGCACTTGTTCCTAGTAGCTTCTTGTTACTAACAATGCGAAGATCTCAACGAAACTGCTTGGCTTTGGATGGCTTTTGCCCACCCGTTTGGCAGCTCTCTGGAAATGTCTGTCATGTCGTTAGTCTGATTTCTTTCGCTTCGTTCCCTTCCCCTTCAAACCAATGCTTGAAAGCCTTCTAAGCACAAAAGGTTGTAGGCATTGTCATAGATCCTCATAAGTCTTGCCACTCAAGAGTTATTTCCAAAGTTCACCCTCTGTTAAGGCTTTCTTTGCATACGGACATGTAAACGGATTTGTCTGAATGCACCACAACTCTTTTTTCTTGCACCCAGTCAGTTTTGAGCTAGACATTACATTCATGCTAAGGCTTCTAAGGGGTGGGGCGTTAGACCTGAAGCATCAAACATACCCTTATAGAAAATATACTTTAAGCAAAATCCTTTAAGGAACCTACTAGCGGCCTCCAACCTGAGAGCAATGGTCTCCTTTGGCAAATCTTTTTCTGGAAGTTGTGTGACCGAACTGAACCCAGAATGGTGTTTGTCAATTTGAACGGCAGGTTTTTATCTTCACACCGGACTTCATCTCTGTTTCTTTTCCTTTCTCTGGCTTTCTCTCTCTCTCGCTATTAGGTTGGAGGCCATCTTTAGTAGGTTGGAGGCCATCGCTTCATTCCGAAGAGTGGCAGAGTGTGTCGGATGTTGGCAGATCCCGGACAACGAGAGCGAAGCTCCAGGCTCAGAGGCAAACACGAATGTCTCAAAGTCTGACCAGGACATTCTTTCTACAAAAAAGGTAAAGCAAAGCAGAGAAAATATTTGGGTCTCTACAAAAAATCAACCTAATAGCAATGGCCTCCAACCTAATAGCAATGGCCTCCAACCTACTGGCGATGGCCTCCAACTTGCTGGCGATGGCCTCCTAGCAGCAAAAAAGTAATCTGAATCTCACGAGTCTTGGTAAGACCTCGTTGGCTGAGGGAAGCGATGCATTGCCTCCTCCTGCGAGCGCTGAAGAAATCTCCGAAGCGCAGGAAATCTTCCGGCGTGCCCAGGAGCGTCACAGATCGTTTCGAAGACAAATTCTCTAGGAGCAAGGACGCTACTAGGGGCTCCTGGCCTTACTACTAGGAACAAGAAGCTACTAGGAGCAAGGGCATCGCCACTAGTAACAAAGGGCATCGCTACTAGGAGCAAGAAGCTACTAGTAGCTCCTGGCATCGCTATTAGGAACAAGAACGCGCTTAGGTTGGAGGCCATCGCTCCTAGGTTGATTTCTCTCCAGAAACCCAATTTTCTGTTCAATTCTCCAGATTCAGGACGACCTCATCGAGCGCAACAAAATGAAGGCATGAGTGCCGAGCAATTTTTTGGTAACGAAACAGGGGCAGACAGGTAGACAATGGTAGAAGATGATAGACACTAGCGTCCTTGCTCCTAGTAGTAAGGCCAGGAGCCCCTAGTAGCGTCCTTGCTCCTAGTAGCGATGCCCTTTGCTCCTAGTACCGTCCTTGTTCCTGGGCACATCTAGGCGCTAAATGCGGGTAAAGCATAGAAATAGAGGGTAACATCTACTCTGAAACCGCTTTTGCTCGGCAGGCCAAAGTGAAAGATTGCAACAAGAGCGACCTCCAGGTGCGATGCTTTTTGATGCTACGCACGGAGCAAGAGGACGCTACTAGGAGCAAAGGGCATCGCTACTAGTTTGGAGGCCAGTGCTATAAGGAGGTAAGCTACTAGCAACTGGACACAGGATGGCTCACGGTTCTTCAAAGATTCTCCCCCCGCCTTCGTGTTCGCACTAGATTTAATTTGGGTTTGAGTTTAATCAGAATTCATTTGAACTGGCTAAGATTGAATAAACTGAGGTTAAACTTAGATCGAATTATGTTAGAACGACGTAGTTTTCGTCTAAATTGGATTTAGATTAGCTAGAACAGATTAGAATCAGTTGGAACAGTTGGAAATAGAATGTTTTCTTGGCATTTGCGGATTTAAGAAGAATCTACTAAGGAAGTCAATGTGAATACGAGGAGCTACTAGGAGCAAAACGACTAGGGGCGCTCCTGGCCGTACTACTAGAATCAAGGATGCTACTAGGAACAAGTGCATCGCTTCTAGTAACAAGTGCCTTACTAGTAGTAACAAGGACGCTAGTAGGGGCTCCTGGCATCGCTACTAGGAACAAGGATGCTACGAACGGAGCGAACCCCCCGCATCGTCTCCATTCGTCGATCCGTTCTTCGTCTCGGTTGAGGCGATGATCAATGCACGCTTGGCAAAAAGATGAAGCGCCGCAAATCCAAGCGCAGGTGCGATCAGATTCGGACACTCAAAAGACAACAGTTTTGTTGTTTTGTTTTCAAAGTCTATTTTTCTTTCTTTTGAAAGGAGAGACAGGCAAAGTTCTGTGACACTGCAGGCACGCTGCCGGCCAATGATCTGAGACCCGCAGAATGTTCTGCACAGACACAGAAACCATCGCTTCTAGGAACGAAGGGCATCGCTACGAACGGAGCAAGGACGCAACTAGGTTGGAGGACATCGCTAGGTTGGAGCCAAAGCAAAGTAAACTAGGAACAAGTGCCTTACTAGTAGCAACAAAGTCGCTACTAGGAACAAGTGCATCACTACTAGGAACAAGTGCCTTACTAGTAGTAACAAAGAAGCTACTAGGAGCAAAGGGCATCGCTACTAGGAACAAGTGCCTTACTAGTAGTAACAAAGAAGCTATTAGGAACAAGTG